GTGTCTGTGTCTTTGTGTGTCTGTGTGTGTGTGTCTGTGTGTGTGTGTCTGTGTGTGTGTCTGTGTCTTTTGTGTCTGTGTGTGTTTCTGTGTGTGTGTCTGTGTCTTTGTGTGTCTGCGTGTGTGTCTGTGTCTTTGTGTGTCTGTGTCTTTGTGTGTCTGTGTGTGTGTGTCTGTGTGTGTGTGTCTGTGTGTGTGTCTGTGTCTTTTGTGTCTGTGTGTGTTTCTGTGTGTGTGTCTGTGTCTTTGTGTGTCTGTGTCTTTGTGTGTCTGTGTGTGTGTGTGAGCAGTGGCACAGCGGTTAGCACACTGGCACAGCGGTTAGCACACCTGGCGACCCGGGTTCGATTCCCGCTCACGGCCAACACCGGTGACGATTATGTGAACCGGTCATGGGCCTCCCCTAGGTCGACTCAGCCTCAAAGTAGTACCTGGTGCGATGTGTAAACATCGCTACTAGGGAGACAAAGGCGGCCGTTCTGCGCCTTCATAGGTGCTCACTAACAGCACTTCCACCAATAGGCGATGTTTAAACACTGTGCACCAGGTACTCATTTAAGCCTGAGTCGACCTAGGGGAGGCCCAGGACCAGTTTAGACATTCGCTAACTCCAATCATGGAAGAAACTCAAACTCGGGTCGCCGGGTTCCTAGCGACCGGTGTGCTAACCACTGCGGCACCAACTCCCCCACACACACGCGCACAGACACACACACGGGCACGCAAAGACAAAGACCCCCCCATGTAGCCTTAACAGACTGTTGGGGCAAGTGCTGTTAGCGAGTAGCACCTATTAAGGCCGGCACGGCACACGAGGGGGTGGATGGCCAACACCACGCCCGGCCGCCTTTGTCTCCCCAGTGGCGGTGTTTACACATCTCACCAGGTGCTCATTTGAGGCCGAGTTAGACCCTAGGGGAGGCCCAGGACCGGTTCAGATAATCGTCACCGGTGTTGCCGGGTTTGCAGCGCAGCGCGCTAACCGCTACACCACCGCTCCCCCACTACACAGACACACAGACACACACCCCCCCCCCCACGCCTTCTGTCACTCGGCGGACGACGTTAAAGATCCCAGACGAGTAGCCGGTCACCGTGCGCCGGGGGTCAGGGCCCCAACTTGCCGAACTCTAAAAATCACTGGGCAGGCATCGCGCTCACGACAGCGGCAGCAGGGGACTGGCACTACCCCCCCCCCCCACCGGCTCACATCGCTTGCCACCACACAGAGGGGGCAGCTGCCACCGGGGGTGCCCTTCGAGAGTTCGAGGTGCGCCGCGTTGCCCGGGGCATTGAAGCGAACGTTAATTTATTTTTATTGTTGGGAGTATTTTTTTACATTATGATGATGATGATGATTATCCTTTCACGGCAGCGCTATTGCCGAACGTGTCAGGTCACTGCCATCGAGCGGCCGCGGATGTCCGTCGCGAGGGTGAACGGAGAGCCCCGCGCCGGGTGAATGATCCATCAAGAGGATCTTCCCTCTCCCTTTCTTTATCTCTCTCTCTCTATCTCGCACGCACGTACGTGTACACCCACGCACGTGTACACCCACGCACGTGTACACCCACGCACGTGTACACGCGCGCACACGAATGTGCGCACCATATGTCCAAAAGCCACGACTTCACGCTAACCGCAAACAAAGGGAAAGATCCTCCCCCCCCACCAACCACCTTCCATATAGCCAGCACAGGCTGTTGGAGCACGTTCTGTTAGCGAGCAGCACCTATTAAGGCGGTGGGCACGGCACACCGGCATCAGTAGGGCCACGCTGACACCCACAACACACACACACAAAGATCAAAGACAAAGATCCCCCATATAGCCTTAACAGACTGTAGGGGCAAGTGCTGTTAGCGAGCACACACACGCGCACACACGCACACACACATACACACAAACATACACACGCGCACACACAAACACACACGCGCACACACAAACATACACACAAACACATGCGCACACACAAACATACACACAAACACACGCGTACACACACAAACACACGCGCACACACAAACACACACACAAACACACGCGCACACACAAACACGGACGCAAAAACGTGCACACACGCGCACACACAAACATACACACAAACACGCGCACACACAAACACGGACGCAAAAACGTGCACACACGTGCACACACACGCACAAACACACGCGCACACTCACAAGTAGATGCACACACACACGCGCACAAACACACGCGCACACTCACAAGTAGATGCACACACACGCACAAACACACGCGCACACTCACAAGTAGATGCACACACACACGCACAAACACACGCGCACACTCACACGTAGATGCACACACACACGCGCACAAACACACGCGCACACTCACAAGTAGATGCACACACACGCACAAACACACGCGCACACTCACAAGTAGATGCACACACACACGCACAAACACACGCGCACACTCACAAGTAGATGCACACACACGCACAAACACACGCGCACACTCACAAGTAGATGCACACACGCGCACACTCACAAGTAGATGCACACACGCGCACAAACACACGCGCACACTCACAAGTAGATGCACACACACGCACAAACACACGCGCACACTCACAAGTAGATGCACACACACACGCACAAACACACGCGCACACTCACAAGTAGATGCACACACACGCACAAACACACGCGCACACTCACAAGTAGATGCACACACGCGCACACTCACAAGTAGATGCACACACACGCACAAACACACGCGCACACTCACAAGTAGATGCACACACGCGCACACTCACAAGTAGATGCACACACGCGCACAAACACGCGCACACTCACAAGTAGATGAACACACACACACGCACAAACACACGCGCACACTCACAAGTAGATGAACACACACGCACGCACAAACACACGCGCACACTCACAAGTAGATGCACACACACGCACGCACAAACACACGCGCACACTCACAAGTAGATGCACACACACGCGCACAAACACACGCGCACACTCACAAGTAGATGCACACACACACGCACAAACACACGCGCACACTCACAAGTAGATGCACACACACGCACAAACACACGCGCACACTCACAAGTAGATGCACACACGCGCACAAACACGCGCACACTCACAAGTAGATGAACACACACACGCACAAACACACGCGCACACTCACAAGTAGATGAACACACACGCACGCACAAACACACGCGCACACTCACAAGTAGATGCACACACACGCACGCACAAACACACGCGCACACTCACAAGTAGATGCACACACACGCGCACAAACACACGCGCACACTCACAAGTAGATGCACACACACGCACAAACACACGCGCACACTCACAAGTAGATGCACACACACGCACAAACACACGCGCACACTCACAAGTAGATGCACACACACACGCACAAACACACGCGCACACTCACAAGTAGATGCACACACACGCACGCACAAACACACGCGCACACTCACAAGTAGATGCACACACACGCACAAACACACGCGCACACTCACAAGTAGATGCACACAAACGCGCGCGTCTACCCTGGGGCTGGCAATGTGGCAGAAGGCGTCACGTCCATTAAAGTTTGATGTGGGGAGACAATAGCTCCCACTCCAGAGGGGCTACGTCTCCCCCACACTCGCTCCCCCGACCCACACTCACCACACACACACTCACTCACCACACACATACACACACTCACCATACACACACACTCACTCACCACACACACTCACTCACCACACACACTCGCCATACACTCACACAACCATACACACACACTCACAACACACTCACCACACACACTCACCATACACACACACACAACCACAAACACTCACCGCATACACACACACAACCACACACACACTCACCACACTCACCACACACTCACCACACACACACACACTCACTCACCACACACACACACACACACTCACCACACACACACTCATTCACCACACACACACTCACCACACACACACTCATTCACCACACACACACTCACTCACCATACACTCACCAAACACATAAACAAACACACACACTCACCACACACACACTCACCACACACTCACCATACACACACTCACCACACACACACTAACCACACTCACCACACACACCACACACACACTCACCATAAAATCACCACACACACACTCACCACACACTCACCGCACACACACACTCACCGCACACACACACTCACTCACCGCACACACACACTCACCACAAACCACACACACACACTCACCATACACACTACGTACCAAATACAACACACACCAAACACACAAAATGACGAAGACAAAGATCCCCCGTGTAGCCTTTACAGACTGTAGGGGCAAGTGCTGTTAGCGAGTAGCACCTGTGAAGGCCGGCACAGTACACAAGGGGGTGGGTGGCCAGCACCACGCCCAGCCGCCTTTGTCTCCCCAGTGACGATGTTTACACACCGCACCAGGATACTCATTTGAGGCTGAGTCGACCTAGGGGAGGCCCAGGACCACTTCAGATAATCGTCACCGGTGTTGGTGGCCGTGAGTGGGAATCGAACCCGGGTCGCCAGGTTCGTAGCGCAGCGTAGCGCTAACCACTACACTACCACTCCACACACTCACACACAAAGACACACACAAAGAGACACACAAAGACACACACACACAAAGACACACACACACAAAGACACACACAAAGACAAACACAAAGGCACACACACACACAAAGACACACACAAAGGCACACACACACACACAAAGACACACAAACACGCGCCACCCTAACCCAGTGTTAATCTTCTCAACAACAAAATGTTGTTGTCAAAACATTCATCGGCTCGCCTCGGCTCGGCTTCTCCAGTGGAAAAACATCGCCGCTGCCCCCGCCCCGAACCGTGCCGGCCACCAGCGGATAGGGGGAGGATATGGGGGGGGGGGGGGGGTGGAAGCGGGGGGGGGGGAGGGGGCTCCGTCTTACCCTCCGTGCCGTCCGAGAAGCAGACCCCGGTGTCGCCGCTCTCCGACGTGACGCTCGCTTGCCGGCTCGTGGGGCCCCCCGTCCACGCCGAGGGGGTTCCCACGACACCGCCGCTGCCGCCCCCCACGCCGCCGCTGCCGCCCCCCACGCACGGCCCCCAGCCGGGGCCCCCCACCGCGTCCACACTCCAGCCGGAGTCCGGGCTCCCAACTACAGCGAGCGGCGCCGGCGTCATCATCGTCATTATCGCCATCGTCGTCGTCATCATCGTCAACATCGTCGCCATCGTCAACATCGTCGTCATCGTCGTCAACATTGTCGTCATTGTCGTCATTGTCGTCAGCATCGGCGTCAGCATCGGCATCAGCATCGGCGGCATCAGCATCATAGCTGTCATCTTCAGCGTCATCGTCATCATCGACATCATCGGCATCGTCAACGTCATTGTCATTCACGTCATCGTCATCGTCGCCGCCGTCATGAGCATCATCGTCATCGTTGTCATCGGGATCATCATCAGGGTCACATTCAGGTGTGATCGCACAATAACCGCGCGACTGCTGTCATCATTACTACAATCATCATCATCACGATGATTTGTGTTTCAGTCTCCTCGACGCCGCGGGGTCTCAAGGAGGAGCGCTTGACACGTGCCGAGCGCTTTACGTCACGACTCAACGTGGCTCAGCGGGCACCCCCAGCGGCAGCTGTCCCCGTGCGGCGCACGGCGACTCCCGGACCTTCGGCTGAGCGTGGACACGGGGCTGCCGGCGCCGCTGCCGCTGGGTGCGATCCCGAACCGGGTTCATTCAGTGCGGTGGCGAATTTTTTTTTGTTTTCTTACGAATTTCGCCAATTTGGGACCGAGACGCCGGAACGCGACGGTGCGACGGCAATCCACACCGCAGTGACCGGCGGTGGCGCCGCCGGATTCGTACCGCGCAAGCTCTCCCAACAAGCGGTGAACGCGCTGCAGCCGGGCCACGCCAACGCCGTGGTCTCGCGCCGTGCCACCGTCGTGCCACCGTGGTCGTCGAGACATTCGCCGCCGGGGTTCACGCTCGACTGGGTTCGGCAGGCCCTCGCCGTGACCACTCTGGTCGATTTGGTGTCGTGAAACCGCCCCCCCCCCCACCCCCCCCCCACCCCCCCCCCCCACATCGCCCGACGCGGCCAAACAGAAAGGAAATCCGCGTCACGGCGAAGGACGATGCGCCGCCTATCGTTGTTTCGGCGCGCCCTCGACCCCGCGACCCCGCGACCTCGCAGCCGCGCTCGGCGGCCGGACGCGCAGCGAGAGAGCTTGCGACTGCGGCAAGCGTCACCAGGAGGGAGGCCACACGTGACAGCTTAACCCTTTGCCGTTCCGACGGCGTACGTCATCGGAACGGCCTTATCGGCACGTCCTCAGGTCGGAAGACGCTCCGCACGCCAGGCACTACATTTGAGGCTGGGTCGACCTAGGGGAGGCCCAGAACCGGTTCAGATAATCGTCACTGGTGTTGGCCGCGAGCGGGAATCGAACTGCGCCACCGCTCCCACACTCCCTCTCTCTCTCTCGCAACAAAGACCCGCCCCCTCCCCCCGTGTAGCCTTAACAGACTGTTGGGGCAAGTGCTGTTAGCGAGTAGCGCCTATGAAGGCCGGCACGGCACACGAGGGGGCGGGTGGCCAGCACCACTCCCGGCCGCCTTTGTCTCCCCAGTGGCGACGTTTACACACCGCACCAGGCACTCATTCGAGGCTGGGTCGACCTAGGGGAAGCCCAGGACCGGTTCACAAAATCGTCACCCCACATGTACGTCTCTCTCGCACGCGCGCCTACACAGCCACGCAACAGCAGCCTCCATCAGCCAATAAGCGAAGGCGACGTCGCCACGGCCTGCGCCAGGCTAGGTGCACGCGCACTCACCGGTCGCGTTGGCGCGGTGAGCGCTGACCCCCGAACCCTCCGGGTCTTGCCACTCCATGTCTCCGTCGCGAGCCCCCCCAGCCGCCGAAGGGCCCCCAAACGAGACTCCGGCCGCCCTGGGGGTCCCCGTTGAGACCCCGATTCTCTCCAGGTCCTGCCACTCCATGTCGGTGCCCGCTGGTGGGGGATTGTCCACCCCTCGTCTGCCCCCGGCTGAGGGCGCCAGCAAAGAAAAACGGTCAGAATAATGATTCATGCCGCGGGAGGAATCTGATGAGCTGTAAAGCCCTTTGTCACCACAGATGTCCAGTAGTGGCGGGTCAGAACGTTGCAACAACAAGCAACACGATATAAGTATGGGAAAGGTAAACACGTCACTTAAACAAATACAACTCGATTATTTGAATCTGACCAGGTATAGCCCCCACTGAGCTATTTCACGGATCTGTCGGAAGCGACCTGGCCAACAAATGACAGCTCAGGTGGCTTACCAACCACGTGGACATTTACGGCAACCATCATCATAGCAACAGAGGCCTGGGTTCGATTCCCAACTCGGATGCCTTTGTACCGTGTGCAGTTTGAACGTTTTTTCTCGCTCCCCACCCTGCTCCGCAATGGGTTTCCACCTACAAGCTGCACTCACACAGCGGGTCCTGCTACCGGGCAAACTGCATCCCCAATGCTGAAAAACGACCCGCAAATCACAGTACGGTTACTGAATTGGCAATCGAGACAAAGATCCCCCGTTGTAGCCTCGACAGACTGTTGGGGCGAGCGCTGTTTGCGAGCAGCACCTGTGAAGGCCGGGAAGGCACACGAGGGGGTGGGTGGCCAGCACCCCGCCCGGCCGCCTTTGTCTCCCCTGTGGCGATGTTTACGCAACCGCACCAGGTACTCATTTGAGTCGACCTAAGGGAGGCCCCAGACCCGGTTCAAATAATCGTCACTGGGTGTTGGCCGTGAGCGGGAATCGAACTCGGGTCGCCGGGTTCGTAGCGCAGCGTAGCGCTAACCGCTGCACCACCGCTCCCCACTCGATTGGGATCACACAGCAGCAGGAGCAACATCGCTCCACAGCTGCCAAAACTTGGCAGGATCCTCATGAAGAAAAGTTCCTTGAGACTCAACGAGGCTCTCCGGAGTGAACACACGTAATAATATATAGTGTGTGATTTCTGTAAAATAAACACAGACCCAGCCAGAATCGTGTCACGGGACAATTACCAAGTATCACATCGAGTACGGAAGCTAAATTGATGCGGGGGATCCTTAACAAGACATCCACAATCATCGACTAGCGGGGCTCAAATCAAAAGTACAAATAACGCCCGAAATCTTGACTTGAAGCTTTCGTGAATGCATGAATTGAAAACAACGCCCCGTGCGGTACTGCGTATCGGAAGGCTCGCTCGCTCGCTTGGACAACAACGACAACAACGACAACAATAACAACAACAATAACATCGTTGTGTCGATTTATAAAGGTAGGAAAGAGAGAGAGAGAAGGGCGGTGAACCCAGTGGCTGTTTTATAACCTTGCGACATCGCCAACAGCCAGAGACCAACAGCGGGATAACGACCACGGACGTAGCAACGGCAACCAGGCCCTGGGTCGCGACAGTCGGTTGGTGTCGCGACAGTCGGTTGATTGATGTCGCGACAGTCGGTTGATTGGTGTCACGACCGAACGCACGTGGCGCGCACGTGGCGCGACCCGGAAGTAGGGCTGAACGATTAATCGATTTCAAATCGACATCGCAATTTGAAACAATGCGATTAGCAAATCGCAAAGGCTGCGATTTTTGGCGATTTTAAAAGTCCTATTTACTTTCTTATTGGAATTGTTTGATTTTGTGTCATTGTAACTTTATATATTGTTCTATTTCAATTAAAACATGTTAATAAATACATGTTGGGAGCAATTAATACCTTTTAAGTTATCATCCCTGCATTATAACATATAGAGCAGTTCATATAGTGATGGTATCACGTGGTAACGCTCCATCACGTGTTTTAAATCTATTACACAGTGAAAAAAATGTAATCACAATATCCATACTCTTTGGTTCTATTGGGTAAAGTCACGTAGGTAAAATCTAGAATCGCAATATCTTTCAGAAAAATCACGATTTAATATTTTTTCCCAAATCGTTCAAGCCCAACCCGGAAGGTTCGGGTAGGGGGGGGTTGCTGAGTCCCGCGTAGCCAATCAGCGCCGAGTGCTTAACCGTCACGAGCCCGTGGTCGATCCACTGCTGGATGAATGCCCCCACCACTGTCCCACCATTCGCCTACTCGCACCGCCCACCGACAGACAATTCTACACCGCCACCTCTCACGACCCGCGATGTTCACGATCCAATCTCGTCTCACTCTCTCTCTCTCTGTGTGTTAGGATGTGTTCAGATAAACGTACGATCAATACATTTCCGGTTCCAAACTGTAGCTCACAAGGTCATCAGAATCAGAATATGTATTTATACTGTAGGAATCCGATGAGCTATAAAGCTCTTGCCCACGGATGTCCAGTCCATCAGCAACAGCAGAAGCGTCCATGGTCAATCGCACTGCTGGATGAAGGCTTCCCAAAGCCGTATCCCACCTCTGACGTTCCTACAACGATCCTAATAATCCCATCCAGCCACTGACACGTGATCGGGTTTTCCTCGCTCCATCTCCACCCACCACCTCCACCAGCGGACGTTCTCCGGGACGCGTTCCGTCCCTTGGCTGAAAATCGGTTCTTGTTATCCCCCCCCCCCTTCCACTTCATCCCTCTGCGAGCTTCACTTGACTCAACTTTACCCCATAACAGCAAACGACTCCATACGCAACCGGCACCAGAGGTGTGGCATTGAGGCCGTCCGTAAATGACGTCACGGGATTGTGGACGATTTCTCCCACCCCCCAATCATCGTCACATGACGCCACAAAGCTCTGCCCCACACCAAAAAAAATATAAAACATGCTTCAAATCGCTTTAAACTATTGCCATTGTAGTGCGTATTTAATGTGCCGCTGCACTCTGATGTTGTAGGAGAAAACATTAATTCAAAAGTCTATTTAATGAAGTAGAACGTGTTGTCTGTATTTATTTAAAGTTGCGCATTTTCATGTGACGTCACATATCTCAAACCTACGTGACTTTACCGAAAGAACCAAAGATGAATCCTTGCAGTCACGAAAGCTTTAAGTCTACAATTTGTTTACCTTTCATAAAATGTTACACTCCTATCGTGTGTTTTGTGTTGTTTGTTGTTGTAACGTTCTTACCCGCCCCCACTGGACATCTGTGAAAAAGAGCTTTATAGCTCATCGGATTCCTCCAGTAGAAACAAATATTCCGATTCTGAAAAGGGACATAGACTCAAGAGACGTTTCGGACAATCGCCCTCCTTCATAGCAAGCATTTGTCTGACGAGAGACAATGCCCGTGACGTCATCTATTATATCTATTATTTCTATTGTTTCTCTTTTTAAGGCCACACACACACAGAGACGCACGCAGTGGTTGTGACCGACACAACGTGGCAAGTTTGTGCCGTGTTCATTTGTGCACCGCCAGTTGCCGGACTAAGCTAGTGTGGGGCCTGTCGCATATGTTATAAGGAGGCCCTAAATTAAAATATATATAAAAGCACAAATATTTAACTTGCATAGTAAAGTAATTTTCTACTCTTTGGTTTTTTCGGTAACGTCACGTAGGTAAAATAAAATAAAACAACTAAATTAAATCACGACGTTTCGGACAACACAAGCTTCCGTCTTCAGGTGGAACAGACACAGCAAAATTCGCTGTATCCTCAAGGAGGAACGTCGTGCTTTAATTTAGTTGTTTTATTTTATTTTACCTACGTGACTTTACCAAAAAAAACCAAAGAGTGTGAATCCTTGCAGTCACGAAAGCTTCAAATCTAGAATTAAAGTAATTTTATTTTTTGCATTTGCTATACAGCCAGATAATACGACAAATTGCTAACCTTAAACACCCAGCCGTTCATAAAAGTTGAAGGCGGTATAGTACTATAGTAATAGAGCAAGTGCAGAATCACTGAACCGGAATTGATAGCTTGAAAGCATTTAGTGTGTGGGGCCCGTAGCATTTGCAATTTCCGCTACTCAGATAATCCGGCACTGTGCAACACCACCAACGCAGTGCCCCATCACCAGAGATGCCCCATCACCAGAGATGCCCCATCACCAGAGATTCCCCATCGCCAGAGATTCCCCATCACCAGAGATTCCCCATTACCAGAGATTCCCCATCACCAGAGATTCCCCATCACCAGAGATTCCCCATCACCAGAGATTCCCCCATCACCAGAGATTCCCCATCACCAGCCCCATCACCAGAGATTCCCCCATCACCAGAGATTCCCCATCACCAGAGATTCCCCATCACCAGCCCCATCACCAGAGATTCGCCATCACCAGAGATTCGCCATCACCAGAGATTCCCCTTCACCAGAGATTCCCCATCACCAGCCCCATCACCAGAGATTACCAATCACCAGAGATTCCCCATCACCGGAGATTCCCCATCACCGGAGATTCCCCATCACCAGAGATTCCCCATCACCAGAGATTCCCCATCACCAGAGATGCCCCATCACCAGAGATTCCCCATCACCAGCCCCATCACCAGAGATTCCCCATCACCAGAGATTCACCCATCACCAGAGATTCCCCATCACCAGAGATTCCCCATCACCAGAGATTCCCCATCACCAGAGATTCCCCATCACCAGAGATTCCCCATCACCAGAGATTCCCCATCACCAGTGATTCCCCATCACCAGCCCCATCACCAGAGATGCCCCATCACCAGAGATTCCCCATCACCAGAGATTCCCCCATCACCAGAGATTCCCCATCACCAGCCCCATCACCAGAGATTCCCCCATCACCAGAGATTCCCCATCACCAGAGATTCCCCATCACCAGAGATTCCCCATCACCAGAGATTCCCCATCACCAGAGATTCCCCATCACCAGAGATTCCCCATCACCACAGATTCCCTATCACCAGAGATTCCCCATCACCAGCCCCATCACCAGAGATTCCCCATCACCAGAGATTCCCCATCACCAGAGATTCCCCCATCACCAGAGATGGTTGTGCCCTGTGTGGGTGGTGAGAGTTTCCTCCCTCAAGCTTCTCGGGTTTCCACCCATGGCTAAAATAAAAACCCCAACGCAGTGTTACGGCT